CCTCAGCCTCCCAAAGCGTGGGATTACAGGCTGAGCCACCGAGCCCGGCTTTTTATAAGAATTTTTAAGACCTGGGTTCTAATTCTGTCTCTGATACAAATTGACTGCAAAATTCGGACAATCAACATCAACATTACTTCCTCAGGTCTATTACCCTCACAGACAATGAAGAGGGTGGGGTCAACCATCTCAAAACACTAACATCGGCGGCTAAGAAGGCGGCTGTGGTGCGGCGGCTGAGGCGGCAACGGAGGAGACAGAAGATGGCAGATTTTTTGAAAGGGTTGCCTGTCTACAACAAAAGCAACTTCAGTCGATTTCATGCCGACTCCATGTGCAAAGCCTCGAACCGACGCCCCTCAGTCTATGTGCCCACACGAGAGTACCCGTCTGAGCAGATCATCGTGACATAAAAGGCCAACATCCTGCGCTACCTGCATCAACGGTGGGACAAAAAGAATGCCGCCAAGAAGAGGGACCAGGAGCAGGGGGAGCTCGAAGGCGAAAGCTCAGCACCTCCCCGTAAGGTGGCGCGGACTGACAGCCCGGATGTGCACGGGGACACTTAAGACTCGTTCGCTCCAGGGGCCTCCTGTCCTGTTTGCTCCTCTACCACCTGCCCGCCCACATGTGTAAGTGCCCGCCCGCCTCCCCCGCCCTCCACTGTCCACACCACTTCCAACCTCAAAGGAGCCGAGATGTATTTATTTTCTTGAGTTTTATTTATGCTGTAACACGTATCAAGTGTTGGTTAAAGGGGACGTCAGACCCAGTAGCATGATGTTGGTAGATGCTTCTTAAACAACAACGTTGTTCCTTCCCTCCTGCCCCCCAGTTCTTGAGACTCCAGAGAATCAGAGCGTGTCTGAGGGTCCTGGCTGGGCTGGGGCAGGGGCAGAGGCCGGGCAGCCCTCTCCCCTCCCACCACCGGTCCTGGCTTTTGAGACTCAGCCTGATACCACGTTCCACTGGGAACGAGTCCATGCCCAGACCTCACTCTGAGCACTGGGGAGAAGTAGGCCCTTCTGGATCTTTCTCTTAAGTCATTTTATCATGGACTAGTGCGTGCTCCGTGTCCACCTAATAAAAGGATCTTTCCTAAAAACAAAAACAAACAAACAAAAAATACTAACATCCTGGTGCCTGCCGATCTTGCAAGACCGTCTTTAATTTTCTCACACTCCATGTCTCCGATCTTGCAAGACCGTCTATAAAGTTTCACTTCTGCACTCCATGTCTCTGTGTTCATTCTTTGATTTTGGACAGGTGAGTTCGTTTCTCATAGCATGAATCAATACTTCATTCCTCTTTATAACAAAACAACATTCTACTGTACGGAGAGACCGCATTTGTGCTTCTCCATTTGTCCACTGATAGATTTCTGGGTTATTTCCACCTTTTGACTATTATAAATGCTACTATAAGCATTCATGTATAAGATTTTGTATGGCCAGGCTCGGTGGCTCAGCCTGTAATCCCGCGCCTTTGGGAGGCTGAGGTGAGTGGATTGCCTGAGCCCGCGGGTTCCAGACCCGCCTAGGCAGCAAGACCTCATCTCTACAATAAATCAAAAAATCAGCCAAGTGTGGTAGCGCATGCGCCTGTAATTCCGGCTACTCGGAAGGCTGAGGCGGAAGGATCGCCGGAGCCCAGCAGGTCGAGGCTGCGGTGGCCGGGAGCGGCCACTGCACTCCAGTCTGGGCGACAGAGTGAGACTCCAACTCAAAAAAAAAAAAGATTTTGTATGGATGTATGTTTTCATGTCTACTGGGTACATATCTGGGAGCGTAAATGCTGGATCCTATTGTACCTCTATGTTTAAATGTTTGAGGAACTGTCACTCTTTTCCAAAGTGGCTGCACCATTTTACATTCCTATCAAAAGTGTATGAGAGTCCCAATTTCTTCACATTCTCAAAACACTTGTTATTATCTGATTTGTTGATACTAGCCATCCTAGTGGGTATCAAGTGGCATCTCACTGTGGTCTGAAGTCATCATTTTTTAAACCAATAAAGAATTGGAACTCAACGGATAAGAAAAGCTGTAAAAACAATTATAGTAGAGTCTCATCTGCTTACACTAATTTTTTTTCAATTGAAAAGCCTATTTTAGAGAATCACATGACATTATAACATTGCTGAATGAACTGTTTCCCACAAAATAGAAATTCTTCTAGTTATCAACAGGCATGCCACAAAGTAAATGGGGTCCTACTGAAAAGTATTTGAGAAAATCTCAATTTCAGAAAAATTTTTTAATTGTGGCTTTCCTCAGTACTCTAAATTTGTATGCCAATACACACTGTGTATCCATAAAGCTTAAAATGTCATACAAGGATTCCCAAACTTACCTAGCCATAAAAACCTTTTTTCACAAAATATCTGTAACGTCTCATTCAGAAATAAAATTTTGAAAAGGCAAAAAACAAACAAACAAACAAACAAAAAAACACTAACATCCTGTGATTTATGTGAGATAAACAACATCATCATATTATGTAAATCACAAGGGCTTTACAGGACTTCTATTACAAGGTGGCGTCATGAGGACCTACTTCATCCTCCCAAGATAAGACAGAGACACAATACATGAAGCAACAACATGCCAGACACTGGACATTAACCAACAATGGACAGCAATCCCTTTCTGTTCCTGAGAGGTGGGAACTAAGTGAAGTGAGCTCTATGGTAACAGCAGCTTCGTGTTTAGGGGGTTTCCATGTTGCAGGTCTCCTTGGGTTGACAAGACAGAGCTGGGAGTCTGGGGAGGCCAAAGTGGCTAGAGTTCATACAGCAAATTACTAGGAAGGAGAGGAAACTGCACTGAGAGAGAAAGCTTGGGAGGCCTGCAGAGGGGTCCCCCCTCAAGGCTTCAGCTGAGTTCTAACCTGTGAGGAAACCATCTGAGGCCTGAAAAAGAACCATCCAAAAGGATTAGACCAAACAAATCTCCAGAGCTCACACAGGGCCTATAATACTGCTATTTATTCAGAAGAGTTTTGCTTCAATAATGGAAAGAAATAAACCCTAGAATAAACGCTGCTTAACAAAGCTTAAAAACGAGCCCTGAGCAAAATGCACCCCAGAACACACACAACACAAAAATATTTATAGGAATAAAATAGTAATAAGCAAAAGTTATCAGACATGGAAAGAAGCAGGATAATATAAAACAGGAGAAAAATGAATCAAAACCAAACAAAGAATCACAGAAATAACAGACCTAGTAGGCAAGGATAGCACAACAGTTATTATAAATGTATTATCTGTTGACAAAGCTAGAGGTAGGATTAAGCATAAAAAGTAAAGATATGCAAGATACTAAAAAGATCAAAAACCTAATCAAACTTCCAAGGATGAAAATTACACATCTCAGATTTAAAAAAGAATACACTGGCTGAGATTAACATCAGATTAGGTATTGCAGGAGAAAAGATCAAGCTCGGCTCAGTGGCTCAGCCTGTAATCCCGCGCCTTTGGGAGACTGAGGTGAGTGGACTGCCTGAGCCCGCGGGTTCAAGATCCGCCTGGGTAACTTGGCAAGACCTCATCTCTACAATAAATCAAAAAATCAGCAGGGCGTGGTAGCGCATGCCTGTAGTTCCAGCTACTTGGAAGACTGAGGCGGAAGGATTGTCGGAGCCCAGCAGGTCGAGGCTGCGGTGGCCGGGAGCAGCCACTGCAGTCCAGGCTGGGCGACAGAGTGAGACTCCAACTCAAAAAAAAAAAAAAAAAAAGATCAATGAACTCAGAGACAAAACAACAGATACTATCCAAAATGAAACATGAAGAGAAATTAAAACCAAAAAAAAAAAAAGAATAGAACCTCAGTGAGTTTCAGGATAACGTCAGTATCCTAAGGCAGTTGTAACTGGAGTCCCCAAAGGGTCACGGAGCCAGAGAAAATAGTTAAAGAAATCATAACAAATATGTTTCCAAATGTGATACAACCCTAACCCTATCTGATCCAAGCTCAACAAACTCCAAGCATAAGAAAGGAAGAAAACTACACCAAGGTTTACCACAATCAAACTGCTTAAAACCAGTGATAAAGAGAAAAATCTTACAAGTAGCTTGAGGAAAAAAAGACACACATGTACAGAACAAGATAAAAATGACAGCAGACTTCTCGACAGAAACAATGGACATCTTTAAAAAACTGAGGGGAAAACACTATTAATCTATAATTCTTTTTTTTTCGAAGTCAGGGTCTTACTTTGCCACCCAGACTAGAGTGCAGTGACACAACCACGGCTCACTGCAGCATCGAACACCTGGGCTCAGGTGATCCTATCATCTCAGTCTCCCAAGTAGCTGGGCCTATAAGGGCATACCACCGCATCCAGCTAATTTTTTTTGTTTTTGTAGAGACAAGGTCTTGCTATGTTGCCCAAGCTGGTCTTGACCCCCCGAACTCAAGTAATCCTCTCCTCAACCTCCCAAAGTGCTGGGATTACAGGGATAAGCCACCACATAAAGGCTTTGGAATCACACACACCTATGTTTAAATCTCACTTCTGTCTCTTACTAACTGAGTTACTAACTCTTACTAACTGCCTAATACCATATCATTATTAATATCAATTTTTACTACCAATTACGTGTTTATTATAATAGGTCATATATTGTATCAAGTACTTTATGTACATAAAACTAATTTAATTCTCACAACTCAGAAAAATACTTCTTATTATTATTACTTTTGAGTTGGAGTCTCACTCTGTCACCCAGGCTAGAGTGCAGTGGCATGCTCACAGCCACCGCATCCTTGACCTGCAGAGTTCAAGCAATCCTTCCAGCTCTGCCATCCAAGTAGCTGGGACCACAGGCATGCACCACCATACCCAACTAATTTTTTGATGGTAGAGATGAGGTCTCACCAAGTTGCCCAGGCTGGTCTCGAACCCCAGGGCTCAGGCAATCCTCTCACCTCAGCCTCCCAAAGTGCTGAGATTACAGGCGTGAGCCACCGCACCTGGCTAAAATACTTATTATTATCCTTGTTTTATAAAAATGCTGGAATTTACGTATAGATTGACTGAACCCAAAGCCCATGCTCTTAACCACTGAATCATACTACCTGGGTCTCAGCCTTTTATGTCTGTAAGATAAAAATCATAGTAGGTATTCACACACTGACTGTGAGGACTGAATAAGACAATGCATGTATATCACTGTACAATGCCTGACACACAGCAGTCACTCAGTAAGAGTGCTTTCATTATTAAGTACTTACCATACATCTCATCTTCCAACCCATGAACAAAAGCTCCACAAGCTCCCGACTCGATCAAGTTCACAGCCCCAGTATCTACTTCTTCCTTGGGAGCATCATCTCCCCACTTCCTGCCGCTGGAAAACTCCCCTGAACTGTAAAGTTCCTTGGCACGCTCATGTGCAGTACGTTTCCTCTGCAGAGGAAAACAACAATTACCAGTTGCAGGAGATTCATCAAGAAACAACACTGGCCATTGCCTTGCTAAGCTATGGTGTGGCCATGTGCTCTTTGAGCTATGGCCAGGCCACATTTTCTTAAGCTTTGGCCCCTTCCCTACTGTGGGGAGATGA